ACTGACGCAGGAGCTGCCATTGTTTATCTACGACAATCAACATTTCAGGAAACTAGAACGATCGTCTGGCTACCCAGAGTTAATTGTAATGTGATTGCAGCTGGTGACAAAGAACTGTAAGTATTGCGTATTGCCAAAATAAAGTTCACGCTTGGCGTTAATTTCTTGACGGAGCACAACATGTTTGTTGTCCATTGACTTGACCACTTTTTCCTCATTGTTGGCATAGTTGTGTCATTAATACGGAGAAAGGACTGTTGCAGTTCATCAGAAAATTCGCGCAACTTTCCTCAGAGATCTTTCAGAAGGGAAAAACAAGAACCTCAGAAAGAAGCTCCAGCAAATAAATGGCATATTTTTATTAAATGAAGTTTCACAACGGCGTTCCATATGAAATGCAGCGGATGACGGCATTTTCGAACCACCGGCCACGTTGGCTTAAAAATATTCATTGTGTGCTGCCCGTCAATTGGATGCCATCCGATATTGCAAAATAGCCCACATTTTGAAAAACCGCTGTTCAAGGGAGATATGAAGAGCGCTCGAATTATCGGGCATTACCTTGCTGGATCTCCGTGCTCCGGCTGAAGCATCTATGACCAGATCTTAGACCTACATATTGTTAAAATGTCGAGGAAATTCGCTCATCCAATTTCCACGTGCCACGTTGACCTGCAGAAGGCCTATGATCGGTTCCCACACAACATGCTGTTGGCCTACCTGTCCACGTATGGGGTCGATGTTTATTTGCTATGAGCCACCCAGTTAGTATATATTAATGGTAATTGATGTTGTCGGATTGAATGACGTTAACTCGATACCTTGGGACCGTTGGGACCGGTCTCCGCCAAGGTCGGGTTCATCCCCTCAGTTATTTGTATTGTACATGAATCGAATGATACAGTAGGATGCCAAATACGTAAGCGTAGGAGATGTTCAAACGAAAAGTTTGATGTTTACAGGCAGCCCTTGCTTTGTTCCTTCCTTCTTCTAAATCACAGCTACAGCTTCCTTTACAAGGTTCACAACCGAACGCAAAGTAACCGGCATGAATATGTACGCGCATAATACAGATGGCTTAGTGCTGTCTCGTGCCGTCAAATGAGCGAACGGATAGAGGTACAAGTGAAGAATTTCAGTCACCTCGAGATCTTGCTCAATGGTGATGGATAATGTGAAGAAGAGATCGATCAACGAATCAGGATGGCCAGCAGAATTTGTCAGTGAATTAACCCTAATCCTTGTGACCAAGACAAAGTTCAGTCTGAAGTCTGATCTGTCTGTATTCACATCGATTATTATCCATATGTTCGCCAATTGTCAATAGTCACAGGCATGACCGAAAAACTGCGATCCCGGGTGCAAGTGGCTGAAATGAGCGTTCTGAGATGAATCGTTGGGCTCAAGCGTTTCGACAGAGTCCGGAGTTCAGATATCCGAGAGAATCGTTTTGATTAGTCGTAGCTACAATACCTTGGTAACACCTTGAAAATGCTTCCAGTAGGGAAAGAGGGGTTAAACAGCACTACTTACTCAACTGGCCAATCGAAGATCCCTGAGGCGGCCATAAATGACCTGGGGACAGATGTCTCGACAACTCTGCTCCGGATTCAGATGATGTTCTGGCGAAGCTCAAATGCTGGTAAGGGATTTGAAATGCTACAGTCAATGTCTGCCTTCGGGACCTGAAAAAACAAACGTCGAAACTGACTGACTGCATGTCGAAATTGACTGAAAGCTGAAATTACGAAAATGATTCAAAATTCAGTTAAATCATTGTTTTGTCGTTTCCTTAGAATTTGAATTGGGTGAACATTCAAAAAAATTTCGAAATCCACAGAAATTCATTCTATCGCGCTTCTTTAATGCTTCATCGCTAAATTGACAAACAAGTCCAAAAGAGTAATTTATTATGCTGTTTTCGGCCATTTTCATCGCTAATTTCATTGAAAAATATACATGGTGATAATGATAAAATGCATACAATGACATTTTGGTGCATGCAACTTCCTCATCGTTTCAGCGCAATTCCAGCGAAAGCGAGCTACCACAAATTTCATGTCGGAAGTAAAGTTAGTTAACAGAATGACTTCATAGAGACAATCTTAATATGGTTTCAAGAATGCGTCAGTTCAGTGTCATTGATGAGGACAGGTTTGGATAGGTCGAGTAGTAATCGAGTTTCAGTGTTTGGTGTGACACAGATCTATTCGCAGTCCGAACACTATGTGCTCCAGCGGTACGAACGAAAACAGAAGGCGCAACGTCCAGATGCCACTCTCGTTTGCATATCTGTGTTCAGCCGCTTTCAGAGCTTTACTTTGACCTCGGCTATCGTATACTTTATGTCTGCCAGAGGGACGCCGATCCTCTAGGGAACTCGACTCTAGATAACACAAAGATTGTGTGCTCGTACTTCAGACGTGTTTCCAGACAGAACTACACTACAGTGCGCTCGTTGATGTCAAA